GCAAGTTTTTAGCAAGTTTTTGGCAAGTTTTTAGCAAGTTTTTAGCAAGTTTTTGGCAAGTTTTTAGCAAGTTTTTAGCAAGTTTTTGGCAAGTTTTTAGCAAGTTTTTGGCAAGTTTTTAGCAAGTATTTAGAAAGTATTTAGCAAGTATTTAGCAAGTATTTAGCAAGTTTTTAGCAAGTTTTTGGCAAGTTTTTAGCAAGTTTTTTTAGCAAGTTTTTGGCAAGCTTTTTGGCAAGTTTTTAGCAAGCTTTTTGGCTTTCAAAGCTGCTCATTAAAACATCTGAGGTTTAACAAATTCAAAATTTGTTCAATCTGCAAGTTTTTATTTTTTTTAAATGTTTAATACTTTTCATAAGAAAAAGCAAAGTAAAAATAAAAATGTTGAATATTTTTAACAATATGGTGAAGTCTGAATATCCGGAAATTTTTTAATGTTAAAAAATGGATAAAGAAAAGTAGGCAATATAAGTACTATTACATTATATATTGTTTACTAGGTATGTAGTGTATGTTGCGTATGGCCAATGTAGTTATGTAATATATGTAATATATGTAGTGTATGCAGTGTATGTAGTGTATGTAGCATATTTATGTAACGTATGCAGTGTATGTAGTGTATGCAAGGTGTGGAATGTCACAGAAGACTAAAAGAAAGGGAGGAAAATCATTTAAAAAAAAATTATTTTATGAAATTTATTTTCAATTTAAATAAAATGCATGCAATAAAGTAAGATCTTATAAGAACATTATTATTATTATTATTATTATTATTATTATAATTATTATTATTATTATTATTATCATCATTATTATTATTATTATTATTATTATTATTGTTATTATCATTATCATTATTGTTATTATCATTATTATTATTATTATCATTATTATTATTGTTATTATCATTATTATTTTTATTATTATTATTGTTATTATCATTATCATATTTATTATCATCAATATATCTTAATTTACATTATTGGTTAATTATATAGGTAGGTAGGTAGGTAGGTAGATAGGTAGATAGGTAGATAGGTAGGTAGGTAGGTTGGTAGGTAGGTAGGTAAGCAAAGTTAGGCATGCATTAAAATAATAGGTTAGCTAATTAAGGAGGTATTAAGGAGGTTTAAAATTAAATACTGTTTACTGTTTAGTGTTTATGTTCTATATAGTCTGAAATTAAATGATTGCATAAACATAATATTTCATGAATTAAATACTGTTTACTGTTTATGCTCTGTTCAGTCTCCAATAGAATTATTGCATAAGCATAATATTTAATGAATTAAATACTGTTTACTGTTTATGCTCTATTCAGTCTCCAATAGAATTATTGCATAAGTATAATATTTAATGAATTAAAAATGACGGGAGTTGACGTTCAATAAAAGATTATCGATTTAAAAGCGCACGCGGCAACACCCAGTCAAACATGTGCGTGCATAGAACACAATGGGTTGGTTCAAGAAAGATAAATTAGGAAACAACTCATTTTTTGTTTAAAAAAGCTCACTGCAGTTTTCGAGAGAAAATTGAAAAATTTCAATAGTGTTTATATTTCTCTAAGAAATCGCAGAACAAATGTATTGTAAACATTTTGGGGTCACTCTCCATCCCCCCCCCTGAACATTCTTAATCTAGGCATAGTACATTAGTTGCCTTTCCAAGAAGTATTCATGACAGAAACTCTTATTGTACAAAGAGATCTAGACAATGATGAAAATTGTTAATAAAGTTTTAAGTTGATTATAAAGGATATCGCTATGCTTCGGTATTTGGGTTTACCTCATCAACTCATTTTTGTGTAGCCCTGGATATGTACATTTTAAAGCTGAAGCCCGATCTAGTTTCAGTTTTAAAAAAATCAAATTGGCGAAAACTTTGCGTGATCTTATAGCAGAGAAATAAAAACCATGGTTTTGTGAGGCATACAAATAGAATTTTTCAAAATCAAATCACTTCAAAAGTTTAACAAAACATAATTTTAGATTTCAATAAAATATTCTCCAAAAAAACCTAATTTTTTTATATTTTCTAGTTTAAAATGTTTAACATAATTTCAATTAAATTATATTAGTTAAATTAAAAAAAACAAAGAAATTGAAATAGAGGGAATTTACAGGTAAAATGGCAAAATGATAAAAATGACAGATTTGCCCAGGAAAGATTCAAAGTTTTTTATTCAAAAAAAATTTAGCTTCAAGTTACATTTTTATGCAAACTTNCATATAATATGATACCCTAGTTCTAGCTTCTGACCGTGTAGCTTGAAAGAAAAGGATTAATATAACTGTTAACTCACAAACAGATAAACAGTTTGCAAAAACAGACAACTAAATAAGCACGCACGATGGAGCAAACACAAGCGCGCAGAACTAGATTAAAGGGACTGTGAGCGCTATTTCATGTGATCCTCCAATAAAAAATTTTAAAAGTTTTGTCTGTTAAAGCACAAGTTAGATATCAATGTTTATAATTCTTAAAACGGGTTATTTTTAATTGTGTTTTCTCTACAAAATTGTGACTTGCACATTTCTACATACTGCATAAAAACAAATAGGAGTTAAATCTAGAAAAACAACGATATCCTTCACATTATTGATCAGATAAAGGTTTTAAAGGTACTATCGTGAATCATCTTTGCACGGAGTGTCACTAGAGATTATGCTAACAGTCCCTTTAAGAACTAGTAAACTATTGTTGTAGAGCGTGCACAATACTTTTTTATTTCAAATAAGAAGAACAAACAGTGTAAACTAAAGGGTTGCATCTAACTCTGGATTCTTTGTAAAATGAACGGTATTACTAGCTTTAGTACTGAGCAATCCTGGAATAGCTTTTGACCCGACATTTAACTATGTACTTTTGACCCGACATTTAACTATGTACTTTTGACTCGACATTTAACTATGTACTTTTGACCCGACATTTAACTATGTAATTTTGACCCGACATTTAACTATGTACTTTTGAACTGACATTTAACTATGTACTTTTGATCCACTATTTTTTTAAAAAGATTAAGACCTCTATCTTGAGTTTGGGTGGTGTAAAAAAAAACCTTTGAACAATGAAATAACTGCAGGATTTGAGATGATTATTTTATGAAAAAGCAGAAAGAACAAATAAAGACTATGACCAGGGTTCTGAACAGGAAATTAAATTGATCTTTAAAATATCTAAATGTTCAATTGTAAATCTTAATGCATCATTAAAGATTTGCTACAGATTTGCTAATTCAAGATATTTTGATAATTCTACATTTTTACATTAGGCATTATCCTATTATGTGCATTACTCTACCCTACTTCCCCACTTTTTAAAAATTCTTTTTTTCTTTCTTATTCTTTTCCTAATTTATCTCTTTTCGACATTTGCATTGTTATTTCTCTCATTTTTGAAGCCTTAACAAAGATAAATTAGGAAACAACTCATTNAAAACCTGGTCTGATCAAGTATGAATTATATATATCCATAGATTCAAAGGAATTGACTCTTTGCCACAAACTCTGATTTTCTAATCCCAATATCTTTGGAACCCAATGTCGTAAACCTTTGATATTTCAAACTTATATTTTTTGATCTAACAAAAGTCATAGTTTGAAATTTCAAAGGCTTACGACGTTGGAATCAAAAGATATAGGGATTAGAAAATCAGAGTTTGTTGCAAAGAGTCAATTCCTTTGTAAAAATGTTAAATATAACTAAAAAGTCTAATTAATTCTCAGTATTTTGAATAAAAAGAAGACACCATATTGGAATTCCTATTTCACATGGCATCGAGATTCTTTTCTTTCTTTTCTGGTCACGTGATACGGACGTATAAATAATATTATCAATTATATATTTTATTAAATTTTGAGAGAATTTATCACACCTAATATTTCCCGTCGTAGGGTAAAAAAGTTACTTTATCGCCCTACAAAACAGGTAGAAAATACCACGTTCGGTGTGATAATAAAATCTTATTTTTATTGCAACTCTTGTTCTAGTCACATATTACAATATATATATTTACTTCGCAAAAGTAAAAAGTTTAAATAATGATGGTATTTACTACATTAGCGTCGTCATCATAATAAATAAAGAATATCACTGAAACAGACCGGAGACAAAAACTTCTTAATTACGAAGAATTATATTTTTTCATGTCAAAAAGTTTATGAAGATATTGCACAAGAAAGGATCAAATTTCTAAAAACATTCTCTATTTGTATCTGTTTGTATTAATTAGAAATAAATGATTTAATTATGTCTTTTTTCGCCTATGTCGCCTTTATGTATTTTTAATCATGTAAAGCCAAACATTATACCCCCTATTAAAATACTGAATACTGAATAAGAAATATCTGTTGCTTTATAAAAAACTAGATTGGAAACCCAGCTTTGCCTAGAAAACTAAACTTTTTCTAAGTTGTTCTATCGAGTCACCCAATCCAAATGGGAGGAAAATCGGGCAGGGGTTCCTCATGATCGATCAAACAAACAAACAAACAAAAACAAAAAATATAGAAAAGTAAAAGTGAACATATAACAAATAGATCTATTTATCTATAGATATAGAAAAGTAAAAGTGAACATATAACAAATAGATCTATTTATCTATAGATATAGAAAAGTAAAAGTGAACATATAACAAACAGATCTATTTATCTATAAATATAGAAAAGTAAAAGTGAACATATAATAAATAGATCTATTTATCTATAAATCTTAACGATCACTGCATTTCCGCATGCTTGGTTTTTCTAAACATAAAATATTGTGAAAAGAGAAATAAGAATTATGTTAAAAACAAGAGAAATTCTATAATTTTCTGATATGTGTGTCTGGTTTCCCAATAATCAAATATAAACACTTTAATACAACAGACAAGACAGACAAGACAGACAAGACAGACAAAACGAAAAACTAAGTTACTTACATCGTTTTTAAGATCTGGTTTACATCCTGTGATGAGGATGTTTCTACAGCTTTGATTGTGCCCGTTTTGACAGGAGAGATGTAGGGGGGTAAACCTATACATTTATTCATATTCAGCATTCATTAATTCACTCATTAACCCTTTCATCCTTATTCGTGCATCCATTTTCAGTCATTTTATTTTATGTATCAGTTCATATCCTTCGTTTTCTTCTTTCTCAAAAATAATACGATTAAATCAATTTTCAAGTCAAAAAAAACTGTTATTCATGTTTTATGATTTAAAAAAATATATGAAGAAAAATAAGACTCACCCTCCCCTGTTCTTGATATAAACATTTCCTTTCTTCTTACAGAGAAGGTTTACAGTTCTGCTATATCCTTTCCAGGCAGCCTCATGTAGGGCAGTGTTTCCATACTAAAATACAGATAGGTTACAGGTAGGTAGGTAGCTAGGTAGGTAGGTAGCTAGGTAGGTAGGTAGGTAGGTAGACAGCTAGGTAGGTAGGTTCTAGGCAGGTAAGTAGATAGTTAGGTAGGTAGGTAGGTAGGTAGGTAGGTAGGTAGATAGGTAGGTAAGTAGGCAAGTAGGGTATATAGGTAGAGTAGGTAGGTATGTTAGGTACTGGAGAATAAAACTGTAGTTCAAGTTGTACTGCAATAACTACAACCTTAGATACTTCTTAGGTAGAGTCAAGGTTGTATGATAAGGTAAGATACTCTTAATGCGCTCCAATGTAGGTAAAGACGACCTTTTTACCAATGGGNGGGGGGGGGGGGGGGGGGGGGGACTCATAAAATGTTTATAGGTGTCCCACCAGCATGATAATTTATCTATAATTTTAGCTCTGTATATTATATATGACAAAAGTTGGAAGAAAGCTTAAAAACATACACGGGCTTTCAAAATTGTGCCCTTTCTTCTTTGCATCTTAAATAATGACAAAAAGTTTTGGGTAATCAGGGCTTTAATTATACAAAAGTTTTAAATTTAAAAGAAATTCAGTATGTCTGAATAATGTTACCCCGAAAAATGCTTTTAAACAATTTCTATGACGACGACCTGTCATTCTCTACTTTAGTTATGCATACGATTCTGTACGCATTGTATAAATCCATATAAAAATAATGATTTAGCAACATAAAGATATAAACTTGAAGATATATGGAGTTTAACCGGTTCTACTGAACAACAATGGAATTAACCCTATAGGTCTGGGCAACGAACGGCAATTTTTGAAAATAACCCGGAAATTTTCTTTACGAAGGGAAAAATCTGTTATTTTTGTTAAATCATCAAATAGTTTGAATGTTGTCTTTTTTTTCTGAAATTAAAACCTCACAACCTTGCACAATAGATGGGTAGAAGCACTGCTCTCGTTAGCAAACTTTCCAACCGTTAACAAATATTAAAAATGTCCACCGTTAACGCCGTTAAATCGAGATCGATACCAAACGTCGCGGCAACTCGATAAACGAACTGACTAAAACAAAAAGTTCAGCTAATGATTAAAAAAAGGCAACTTTATGTTTTATCTCACCATTAACGAACGGCTTGAAAAAGGTCAAACGATCCCAGCCCTATCTAAACCACGTTTAGTTCTTCGTAATATCTATAAACAAGGCAGTTTGCACTGCCTTTATCCTTTATACTGCCTTAAACATCATAAATTCCATGCTTTGCTTCCAAATGTAAACAACAGGTTTGGATTCAGATGAAAAATTGTTTGTAAACAAATAAATTATGTTTTATCGTTTCACGGGGTCTTACACAAATACATAGTACACAAACACACACTACACACTACACAAACACACACACACACTGCACAAACACACACTACACAAACACACACTACACAAACACACACTACACAAACACACAGTACACAGACAAGACAGACAAGACAGACAAGACAGACAAGACAGACAAGACANAAACACACACTACACACTACACAAACACAAACTACACAAACACACTACACACTACACAGACACACACTACACAAACACACACTACACACTACACAGACACAAGGTACACAAACACACACTACTCACTACACAGACACACACTACACAAACACACACTACACAGACACATACTACACACTACACAAACACACACTAAACACTACACAGGCACACACTACACAGACACACACTACACAGACGCTAATAATGTTAAACATAAGAGAGTAATAGTTCAAAAGTGGCGCTGTTAAGAGTGTTAATGCGGAAGGGGGGAACAAAATTTATTAAAATTGTTTGCAGTGCAATGTTAAACAAAGTCACTTGCACATTAGATTGCAATCCTGCATATGTTCAATCATAACACTCTTTTCTCAAGAGAAAGAAGATACAAATAGTTTTGAATTTCTAATATGCAATTTAAAAAAACGTCTTTCCTAATACTTACCGAGGAGCTACGAGATCAAAAAGTTGTCGAAGTAATGAATTTGAGCTCTTCCTTTGTCCAGATTGAAGATGTAGAATAATCATTTTTATAGAAAACTGGAATTCTAAGACAAGAGGCAAAAAAGTCTACCCCCCCCCNATATTATAACAAAGATATCTTATTCTTACCAATTCATCCTGATGATCAACTGAAGCCCCGTGTTCAAGGAGAAGTTTAGATATTTCAAGATGGCCGCCAGCAGCTGCACGCTGTAGGGAGGTGTGCCCACACTAGAGACAATCAATCAATCAAGATATCAGTCGATAAATAAATAAACTAATGAATCAAAATATCAGTCGATATATAAATAAATCAATCAATCTGTCAATGATCTATCAATCAATCGATATATTAATTAATCAATAATTAGCTAATTGATCATTTAAATTATTAATCACTTTATTAATCAATTAATCAAATAGTAATCGATTTATTGATTAGCTGATTAATCAATTGATTTTAATTCGACATAATTTACTAAATCTATCTGTCTATCTATCTATTTATCTATCTATTTCTTTATCGATCTATATATGTATCTATCTATCTATCTATCTTTCTATCTATCTATCTATCTATCTTTCTATCTATCTATCTATCTATCTAGCCAGCCAGTTTTCTATCTATCTATCTATCTATCTATCTATCTATCTATCTATCTATCTATCTATCTATCTATCTATCTATCTATCTATCTATCTATCAATCTATCTATCTATCTATCTATCTATCTATCTATCTATCTATCTATCTATCTATCTATCTATCTATCTATCTATCTATCTATCTATCTATCTATCTATCTATCTATCTATTTATCTATATCTTCTATCTATCTATCTATCTATCTATTTATCTATATCTATCTTTCGCTCTCTTTCTCTATACATATATTGTCCTACTCTCTTGATTACAAAGTGTTATCTGCTAAACGTTTAATTTGTCACTTTTTAGAACGAACGTAAAACAATTTATCAACTTTTTATTTATTTATCCACACCTTTCCATTTATCTATCTATCTTATCTATATATATTGTAAAAACATACTTATGTCGTGGCAATTATGTTCTTTTTGTTTACTTAGCTTTGTTTCAACAATCACTTGTAAAATAACCGTTTTAAAACCAACATGCTGTATATGTATATAACAGATCAAATAAACAGTCATTTTAAAACATTTGGCTTGTTTTGGCTAAAATAAATTTTTAAATAATGTGTGAAAATTATGAAAGTTGGCGCAATTTATTAAAGTTAAAAGTCCGTGAAATTTACAACAATAAATGCACCAACATTAAGTGTTGTGTACACTTTTAGGTTACAAATTAAACTTATATTGTACATTGTGCGAATATGGTTAAATGGGCTCCAATAGGGTTATATGATGGTATATGAAGTATAATCAAGTTATTATGGATATGATTACACCATGGAACTATTATGGATGATTAGGGTTTTCTATATCATTCAATTATTGTCTGTGTAATCTTAATCAAATTACCCTACAACGATTATTATCCTTTAGACAGTAATTTATCCACCAGCAAATAATCAAGATAGAGCTGATGATGTATAAACATGGAGTTCAAATTCTTCAACTTGTATTTTCAAGGTTTTTTATTGCTTCGGTTTTTTAGAATCATGTTATGGTGGAATAATATTTTGATTTGTTCACTGTTAAGCCTTCAGAGAATTTTTCTAAATAAACACTCGTAAAACACTTCTGAAAAATTGTGTGTGTGTGGGGGGGGGGGGGGCATACTGATATATATTTAGCAAAACATATATCCTGATGTTATAATACTTTTAGGCAATTTTTTAAATATTTGGTATAAATATCTTTTGAACTTTGTACCAAATCTACTCAAATCAAATATAAAAGTTACGGATCGTTTATTATTTGTAAGTGTTTCCTAAGGACATATTTTGTGTGTTCATTCAAAAGAAAAGTATATTTTTGTTGGATTAAAATGTAACATCTCGGGGACCCAGCTTTGTCTGGAAGCCAACCTTTCTGTATAAAAGTCAACCCACTCAATTTATTAATTTTAAAACTAAGCTAAGAAGATTCTCGTGTTTCTATATACCGAGTTCCTTAAATCAAACTTTGAGGCAAATCGGTCCAGGGGTTAAGTCATTAGTTATGATCGGACATCCAAACAAACAGAGATTACTACTTCTACATATATCCTTTGCTTGTCTGGGTGGGTTTTTGTTTGTATGTATCCAATAAACGTCAAAACGGCTGAACCGATCCAGCCCAAATATTTTGTGTCACCAAACATGACCCTTTAGGCAGGCTCAGAATTACAAAAAGTTGTCTCCAAAAATTTTAGATTTTCGTAAAGTTTTAAAAAATCCAGGTAAAAGAAATTGTGAATCCGCAAAATTTTTTAATATTTTGAAATTGTGAATTTCTGAAACTAAAAACTTACAAAATCTTGAATGTTTGCATCACAGCCTCGGTCCAGCAGTGCCTCTACAGTACTTGTGTGTCCTTTAATGGCCGCTAGATGTAGTACTGTCTGCCCATCCTAAACAATTGAAAAACTTAAGTAAAATTCATATTTATAAAGTCGAAGCGCTAATGAGCTATATTTAAGCGTGAAGTTGTAATTTGAAAATCAGTTCGAATGGAAAATCGTGAAGTTCTGATGTAAAATTGAACTGGGAATTTTGACGAACACACGAACAAACAGACAGTGAAAGATGCTAAATCTCGATGAACTAACTAACATGATAAATCTCTTGAGAGATTAAATCCTTAAAATATATTTTCTAGAGATTATAAGATCACCGCAAAGGGATTAAACCCTACAGTTATTTTGGAGGAGAAGGGGGGGGGGTATAATAACCGTACAAAGAAGAATGCCGCAAATTATTATGTAAATTCAGTGCGACTTTGCATGCTTGTAGTACCTCTTATAGTTATTATTCGGTTCTATACGAAAATTCAAGACATGTTTTTTTAACATTTTGACATTTTTAGAAGAAGAATGTTTGTAAAAACGTTTGTAAACATGAATGAAAAGGGTTATTTAAAAACAATTAACCAGATTTAAAATGTAATTTCAAAAATGATAACGTGTGCCGGCCAAACATTGATAAATAAAGAAGGCATTGGCTCATTAATAAAAAGACAAATCGGGCAACGTGCCTCAAGCAAAATAGATAAATTGTTATCTTTAAATCGTTCCATGTTTCTTTTAAGATAACTAGCATAATAAATTCACCGCCTTTCTTAGTCTTATAGCCCGGGTCAATAGATCAGTTTTTATCCCCGTATAAACTAATTTATTGGCCTAATTTCAATTCTGAACTAGGAAGTAGTGGAGAGAGAACCATTGAATATACAGTAATTAATTAACAAGTTCATAACCATTCTTGGAATATTGTTCATGAACTCAACAAGCAACAGACCTGAACGCACACCTTTCGAATCGCCACATTTTTGCAATCCGATGGTAATACACTATGCATTTAGATCTGACAGAATTTCTATTATAAAATATCAAAGGGACTGTGTGCTGATTTCAAGTGACCTTATTTTAATTCAAATATGAAAACGCCCGATCAACACAGTTTAACCAAAAAAAATTTGTCTGTTCAAGAATTAATTATATATCAATGTGAATAATTTTGAAAATAATTATATCTTCAAAAGTGACTTGCCATTTATACTGCAGGAATTATCTGAATTACAGATTTTTAAACCTTGAAAACGACAATATCTTCCACATTATTGATCAGATAAAGGTTTCATGGGTGCCGATGTGAATCGGGCATTGCCATCTTTGAATAATTCCTTCGCGTAATTATTTTCTTTTCTATCTCTCTACGCATTTTTAAATAATCTACGCTCCTATTCGGACATAATTAAGGAAAGATAATATGTAAACGATTGCGTATATTAATATCAGATCCTGTAGATAAAAATTGATTGCTCTCAAAGCGTACGCTGAACTCAGATCATATAAATGTAGAGATGTGATAGATGATATGGATAAACTAGGGGTGTATAAAAAACGATTCCGTGTTTAGATCTTTCAGTTTTGGATCAATTTTTTATTTGGCGTTCCAAACAATTTAAATTTTGAGATTGTTTGTTAACCCCTTCATTGGTTTCAATTGCAAAATATCTGTAAATCTTGAACAAATCTTAACCAGACGCAGAAAAAATGCGTCAAATGATACGATCTCTAAAGGATCGGTTTTATCCCTCTAATCCATCAACAATGGTTTCACGGACATTTTGATATTTAATCCATGCGTCAAATGCGTAAAACCTTCCTTAAGATTGTGGATGGGAAGACACACCTTGCTAAAATACGTTTAATTCTCCCACGTAAACCTATAGGAATAGTTTGGGCGTTTTTCACAAACTGTCCCAGCTCCTTGCCAAAACCAGAGCAAGCTATAGCAAAGCAGAGCACACCACTATGGGTTAAATGTTTAAAAACCAGAGCAAGCTATTGCAAAGCAGAGCATACCACTATGGGTTAAATGTTTAAAAACCACTTAAAGACAAAGATCAGTACATTGTACATTGTACAATGTTGACCCCCAACACTCTGTGTACAGTACTGTATAGTATACTAGCATGGGAGCCCGGCGCTGCCCAGGTTATTCATAGTAACTCCCACCGTTTACCCGCACTTGGTCTTAATTCATGATTGTATTTGTTTCCTATAAAGTCGACCCACTCAATTTAGAATCTCAAAACCAAGCAAAGAACATTCCCGTGGTTATCCCGAGTTCCACAATCAAAATTAGAGGAAATCGTTCAAAGAATTCATGAGTTCAAATCAGACATCCAAACAAGCAAACAGAGGTTACTACTTTATATATAATATATATAGACAATACAGTACAAAACTCCATATCGCACCTGGTTAAAACTGCCTGTATTGTACTGCTGTGATACCCAACAATCTGTTGAATATAAAGACGACAGATAAGCTGTTTTATGTTTCTTGGATCGTTGTTTTAAAAGCAAATCATTTTACAAGAAGCTTAAAGAACCACACATTGTATTTTTCCATATTTATTAGACTTTGAGAAATCATTTCAGTCGTCGTCCTATTCAACATATTATGGATCTCACTGTATCAATTCATATAAAATAAATTAGGCATTGCACCCGCATTGAGATGACTAGGATGATATATCCTTGTTAAACAATGAAGATGTGTGGGTGAAGGTAGAATATGTAAAGTAAAAACAAACATTCAATCCTTGTCATTCATCAAACAGGGTGTCCCACAAAATATGACAAATGAATTTGACGATCGTTTTTGTCCTTTGAAATAGTTCACGGCTTTTATTCGACAATCTGTTTTTAAAGGCAATATTCTGACAAAAATAATGAAAAATTTACAAACTATATGCCATAAATAGATTTAAAATATCAAAGACAATCTTCAAATCGTCTCCCAAATATTATGTTTCGTTGGACACCCTATATCTCATATACGCATCAATCTTCAAGTCGTCTCCTAAATATCATGTTTTATTGGACACCCTATATCTCATATACGCATCAATCTTCAAGTCGTCTCCCAAACATCATGTTTCGTTGGACACCCTATATCTCATATACGCATCAATCTTCAAGTCGTCTCCTAAATATCATGCTTTATTGGACACCCTATCTCATATACGCATCAATCTTCCAGTCGTCTCCCAAATATCATGTGTTTCGTTGGACACCCTATATCTCATATACGCATCAATCTTCAAGTCGTCTCCCAAATATTATGTTTCGTTGAACACCCTATATCTCATATACGCATCAATCTCTTAGCGTAAAGTAATCCTTGAAAATAAAACAAATATTTACATTTGCAATTATATTGATACATGTTTTAATGTAATAATAAAATTTCATTTATAATTAGCATAAAACATATTTTATAAGTTACAAAACTTGTGAAAAATCATAAAATTGTTCGCACTTAGTATAGTCAACAATGATAAATATACTTAAAACACACATGTCTGTGAAATACTATTTTTAAACAATTATTTGAAAGATTAACAGTTTTATAAAATGTTATTCCGTAGATATAAATATCATCTAATCAATAGTTATATAAAACTAACTATAGCTCAGTATGATCGACCGGACTATATCAAAATAAATGTTTTGATGCTCAAAATCTATGAATAATTTTCGTAACAAAAAAAACAATGTATATTTAAAAAATTAAAACGTATGCCCCCCCCCTTTTTTTCGAAAAAACGACGTATAGGATTTTTAAAAAATAATGTACGACGACGAATGGGATTGTCAAAAAACCGAACTGAGTAATTTAAATAAAAGAAATAAAAGCCCTTTACAAAAAGGTTTAATCGACCATTATTAGGCAGATCTTCCAAATCTTGACAAAATGACTTTAACTCGTTAAATCGATTTAATTCATGTCCCCCAAGGTACTAATGCAAGGAAAGTTAATTACGGTCGCGTATACTCTGCGTACATATTGAAACCAGTTCTCACTGGGCGGAGTTTGTAAACAAGAATAGATGCTTCAGTGTTCGTCTAGTATCCGAGGAGGATAAAGCATTTGATTTTGATAATTTTGAAAATTCAAATAATAGTTTCCTATGACCAGAATATGACCAGTACACTGTAGTACAAAAAATGCGCACACGTCTAAAATAACTTTCCTTGCATTAGTACCTTGATTTCCCCCATTTCAAAAATTTTAGTTTAAAATATGTTGAAAATTATAATATATATAACATATAATAAAGAACAAAGATGTTAATTTTACAATCATGAATGATGATAAAATAAATGATGAAGAAATACAAAAATTCTTATCTTAAAATCTCAAAAAGGTTTTGAGATGAGAAGCGTTAAATACGGGTTGATAAGAGATAGAGAGAGAGACAGGTCTCAAAATCAATCATTTTTTACCCTGAGCTAAATCTCAACTTGTTCTGACAGTTTGATAGTTGAGATAGATACAAGTCAATTTTTTAACCTTTTCTAATTCAACTAAAGAACAAGGATACATTTCGTAAATCTTAACAACATTCTAAACTATCATGCAACCCTTGAAATGGGTTTATTTGCTGTTTGGCTTTTAAAAGTATCTTGGCATTATATTCCAGGTTTTTGCAAGAAATAAAAAGGCCAAAGGCATCGCAATCTGTAAACGCTGTATCACGACTTGATTGAAAAATCGTGGGATTTAGACATTAAATCTAGGATTTGGGTAGCTTTCATAGAGTAGTGTATTTATATAGAGTAGAGACAACAATTTAGATATTAAATCTAGGATTTGGGTAGCTTTCATAGAGTAGTTTATTTATATAGAGTAGAGAAAACAATTTAGATATTAAATCTAGGATTTGGGTAGCTTTCATAGAGTATTGTATTTATATAGAGTAGAGAAAACAATTTAGATACAAAACTGAAGGTTTGGATAACTTTCATAGAGTTTTGAATAGGCAAAGATTTTAAGTTAAATTAAGTTAAAAGATTAAAAGCTAATAAATAATAAATTATGATTAAACAGGAACTAAGCTAAAAATTTGACATTTTGAAGTTTATTTTATGAAAGAATGGAAGAAATTATCATATCCAGGATTACCTAACGAAGCTTCTTAACATTTATATCTTTAAAGATAAGATGAAATCACGTAATACAATGCGATAAAAAAGCGCTTTTGATCGCTACTAATCTTACTTCTATCTGTTTCGTCTGTAAGGAGAAAATTGATAAAGACGTCTCATACAGAAGAGCGTAGCGCCCATACAAATTGAGGAAATTGGAACATACGACTTAGACCGTAAAAAAATCAAATTAATTTCAAACAAATCATTCAGATATTACAACCTATAGTCATCGATTATCTTTCGCCACATTTGTATATATATTTGATATTTCATACTAGTTTTGATTTTGTTTTTTAAAATAATATTTAGCTTACAACTTGTTTTCGAACATTCCTGGAAAATATGAAAATGTCGTCTTCAATGTTTTTATGAGTAACTCTCAGATCATAATAATTAAAACATATCATGAAAAATCAACTATATAGAAATGTGGCGATAGATAATCGATGACTACAGGTTGTAATATTTGAATGTTTTGTTTAAAATTAAATTGATTTTTTTACGGTCTAAGTCGTATGTTGCAATTTTCTCAATTTGTATGGACGCCATGTTATTCGGTATGAGACGTATTTAACAATTTTCTTCTTATAGACGCAACAGATAGAAGTAAGATTAGAAGCGATCAAAAGCGCTTTTTTATCGCATTAAGCCTATACCCCCTTTAATTTTTCGCGAACACTCCCTTTAAAGAGCATTGTTGTGGATCGGTTATTAAATCTTTTTTCATTATCTTATTTTTTTTAATTTACTTTGGGAGTCTACGAGTATTCACTTTTACATAATTGAAAGTATTATTTCAACAATTCAATACATTAGCATAGATTAAAGCATGAAACCTATTTAAAAATAAACAATTCTGCTGCATGAATAGCTTAATGTTTCAATGGCTTTGAATTGAATAGAATGAAACATGTATGTGAATATCATGTGAATATGTTAAACCTCTATTGATTTATTACACAATTATTTAACGAAGAATTTGATGAATTTAAACTCTTTCAATGCTGCTAAAAGATTTTTTTCTTCTCATGAAAATTAAAAACTCAAGGTGAAAAATTGCTGTTTTAAAGAGACTGTAGGCAATATTTCAAGTGATCGACTCTGCCTCCATTTATAGAGTGGCATTTCAGATTCATATTTTCTTTGAAATCGATTAATTTCTGGTTCAGAAACAATGTAGGAATTTGTCTGAATTAAACACTTTTCAAGCTACGATATTTTTTAAAGATATCAGAAGTGTACTGCTGTGAATCGCTCATACCTTTTTATTAAATGGAAGATCATTTCTAATTTAAGTGCTAATTTCATATTTTCATAATTTTCATATTTTTTACCATATTGTAACTGCCATTTTGTATCATATTTTTGCAAACCCAATGTCTTTATTTTATATCCATAATACCCCCATTGTTTGAAAAACGTTTAGTATTTATTTAGGCGTTAAACTGTCCAGGCTTTATCTCACTTTTGGAAATGTGCCAGAAAGGTCCAACATAAATCTTGCATAATAATGCATCATGTGCCAGATAATCAATCAATCAATCAATCCAACTAGTTTCCCAGTTAAAAGGTTTCTGAATTTTATTGCAGAATTCGGAAGATCGTTAAATATGTAGACATGTAGACACGTGTAGACATGTAGACACGTGTAGACATGTAGACAAGTGTAGACAACTAGAAAAGTTTAGACATGTAGACAAGTGTGGGCAACTAGAAAAATGTAGACAGCTAGAGAAAGTTAGACAAGAAATAACATACTTTTTAACAAGTATTAGATAAATATAAAAGAGAATGAAAAAATAAATCAACTTTTACAAATAATGTTAATAATAATGCCAAGCTCAGCAGTCACCATTTAAAAGTAACCTTATATTCATAAACGAGAAAACTAACAATTCTGAGAAATTTGTGGTTTGGCTGTAATCTGCTTTTTTTGTATCTACGTACATGTGTAATTTAAACCTTATAAACCAGAACAAATATTTATAACATAAACTTTTTAAATAATAAGGTTTGTACATTCTACTAGAAATTTTTTTTGTTGAAAGTAAAAAAAAACTTTTAAGGATGCAAAAAGATTGTCTAATTTTTTGTGTGACATACCAGACTTTATTTTTTGCAGGCCCTAAATGGAACAAAATTAAATTGTATGTGAATAGTATTAAATGTTTATGTTTCAGGCTTATTTGAATGAAGATGCTTTGAGTATAAATAGTTAATACAAAAAAGTGTTTGAATCTTAAGATATAAATAATTTAAATAGTATGTACCATATCAACGACGAAAGGTGCCCCTTTTTCCAGAAGTCCAATCAGCTTTTGGGTATCTCCATTCTCAGCCGCATCCTTTAAAATATCCTCAATTGTTTCCTTAGATTTATTCATGATCACGTCAAGTTATAACTCTTCTCTCAACATTAGTCACACAAATCTCACGTGTACACTCATCAAGAGTTTGGTTGTAACTGAGCCGCGTTGGTTGGTTTATTTCATGGATTTATCCGCGAGGTTTGGTGACGCTTCACTCAACCCCCATTCAACAGGAATCCAAAGGCGGCGCGGTACAAAATATTTGTAAAACAGACTCGACCCTTGACATGTGTATTGCAATAAAATGTGTTGAAACGGTATATACAATGAATTTTTCGCTTCCTTGACCTACTGGGTGGGTCATTTTAAATTCTAAGGATAATAAACATTAATCATACATTGTATACTGTTAACCAAGCCAGACCATGGAAAAGGGTATAAAAACTGATATTCATTTCCAACTCGGTTTCTTCAGCTTCTGGTATTTGAGATTAGAAATAATTGACCTAAGCTCGATATTTTAGTAAAATATATCTAATCTTCAGATTTATGGGATTCGTTAACGCTGATAAATTCTGGAGATTAGAAAATCACACTTATTCAAAGTTTACATTTAATTATTAGAAAATTTCTATATTTTTTCCGAAACAATATTTTAAAAGACTGATTTGGGTCTTTTTATTACGCCTTTGCATGCTCATAACATAAGGTGTTATATTCAAAATTAGAATTTGTCACTATATTTATCTTTATCAAGTATTTCATAAGATGAAACCCAATCGAGGCAGACAGAGATATTGTTAATTCGTTTTTTACAATATTTTTTACAATTTTTTCAAAAAAACCATAACAATTCTAAAAACTTCTTTTATTTTAGTTTTGGAACCCGAGCAAATAGTAAAAAATATAGATTTTTTAAAGTCCAAAAGGAAAAAAAAATATTTTTCTCTCAAATAAGGCCGCCATATTTGCTTACTACATTATACTTTTTGTTGTATTATATCGTTGTACTTATCGTCTAGTATCATACAGTATATCTATACGATATGTAACAGATCTAAAGCAATAAAAAATACATATTTAAAAAAAACTCTTTTCGAAGAGATAAAAAAGTAATGTTGAAAAAAAAATTTCTCAAACATTTTTAAAGTATTTTATATGATCCCCTGCTGACAAGTATCTCTGAAATCTATGAACTAAATACTTAAAATAAAATAAATAAATAGAATTTAAAGTATACATCATCATAAAAAGACGACCTAAAGAAATTGAAGATTTGATCAGGATTTGTGAAAAGATGGTGGATTTTATGGGATAAATTCAAAAAAAGAAACTTTAAAGGGACTATAGACTAAACTCAATTCATAAGGCTTGTCAGATTCCTAACGGTACCCTTTAAACCTTTGTCTTCTCGAGATTGAATTATTATACATGGCTGAAAAATAATTTCTCTAAAAAGTAACTTTTGAGGATTTATTCTGCAATTGCAAGGAAGGAAAGTGTCATATTCCAACAGGTTAGAAGATCGGAAAACAACGATATTTTTATTAAGGTTTAAAAGGTATCGTTGGGAGTCGAGCATGTCAAAATTTAATTAGGAAAGTCCGCTTTACAGAAGCAAAAAAATGAAGAAAATATGAGGGTTAAAGGGTAACATTGTGAATCGGTCTGATGATGAGGTAAAAAGGTGGAAGTAAAAAAGCGATATTTTCAAAATGGATGGAGAAAAGATAGAAAGCTGGAATATTTAGAAGAACATATTAGGAAATTAGCTTTTTGAATCACAGAAAATAAGGATAAAGAGCAAAAAATAATAATTTTTGGGAAAATTTAAATTGCGATTTTATATCCGGAAATGGGCATAAGTATTTCATGACGTTTCAAAAAGTTATTCCTTTGTGATTTTTCTTTAAAGTTTGCCGTTCCCTATTTACCGATTCATTGCAATCTTGTTGATGATACTTTACCACAATATAGAACTGCTTGGATGCCTGGATTTCAAGGCTAATTCGGGGATGATTGTGTGAAATTTGATGGACCTGTGTACACATTTCGACATGCAGAAAGTGTAGACATGTAGACATGTGTAGACATGTAGACAAGCGTAGACATGTAGACAAGTGTAGACATGTAGACAAGCGTAGACATGTAGACAAGTGTAGACATGTAGACAAGTGTAGAAATGTAGACAACTAGACAAGTGTAGACATGTAGACAGTGTAGATATGTAGACAAGTGTAGACAACTAGAAAAGTGTAGACATGTAGACAAGTGTAGACATGTAGACACGTATAGACGTGTAGACAAGTGTAGACATGTAGACAAGTGTTGACATGTTGACAAGTGTAGACATGTAGACAAGTGTAGACGTGTAGACAAGTGTTGACATGTAGACACGTGTAGACATGTAGACAAGTGTAGACAACTAGAAAATTGTAGACATGTAGACACGTGTAGACATGTAGACACGTGTAGACATGTAGACACGTGTAGACATGTAGACAAGTGTAGACAACTAGAAAAGTTTAGACATGTAGACAAGTGTGGGCAACTAGAAAAATGTAGACAGCTAGAGAAAGTTAGACAAGAAATAACATACTTTTTAACTTATTTATACTCACATTGGTTCTAATAAAACCATATCCACCTCACCTTTATTATACTCAAATTGGTTCTAATAAAACCATATCCCCTTACCTTATTTATACTCACATTGGTCATAATCAATTCATATCCCCTCACCTTATGTATACTCACATTGGTCATATCAAACCATATCTCTTTTACCTTTATTATATTCACAATAATCAACCCTTGTCATCAGTTCTAATCTGACCACATTACAGAGCCACGCCTTTATTAATTTGTTTGTAATTAAGCAACTGCATGCAATACAGTCAACCAATCTAATACGTGCATATAAACTTACAACTTGTTTTTAACTAGACACAAAACTTGGATTAATACAGTGAGGACCAGAAAAATGGGATTTTTGGTTCTGATTGGTCATCGTTTTAAGGCCCCGTTTTAAAATTTTCAAAGTTTTAAAACTTTGAAGAGGCTGAAGAAGAATCTGAGACGTGAATTCTATTTTAGACAAGTTTGCTTTTATTACATTATGCAATATTTTAATTCTAACCAAAGAATATTAACTATAAGAACGATGAGAAAAATGTGCTGGTTAAGATCTTTGATCAGAGAAAACAATTCGCATAATGTAATTAAAGCAAACTTATCAAAAATACAATTTTGCAATTTAATTATAGAATGATATTTTGTAAAAAAAAAACTTTATAAGTCAACGGAACTCAAACATTCCTGTATGCCGAGTCCATTAGCGCCTGATCCAATCAGGGTTCAGTCATGTGTTTGATGTCTATTCTGAACCAATAGAAATGGTTTTGCGGTAACATCAATCTTTCTATCCAATCAGAGTTATGAATCCTTCAATCGGCGCTATCAGTAAATGGAAATATTTACTTCTACTGAAACTATGGTGTGCAAAATGATACTCATTATTCCTCGTCTTATTTTCTCTTTTAATTGTGTAATGTCGCAAAGGATTTTGTAGTTTGGAATTTGACTTAGAGTGCTCTCTACACTATTAGAAGATATCTTGCAGTTTCAACAATTCCTAAGTAACATTTCAGAAGACTAAAGAAAGATCAAGCAACGCTTATTCCATAGTTTTCTGGTTCTCACTGTATAAGAATACTTTTCGTCAGATGCTTTTTACTTTTTGGATATAAGGTACACATGATCTCCTTTCTCCGTCCTGGCTCGAACTACTGTGAACAGCTTCTGTTCTCTAAGGTTATGGTTGTGGAGAAGAATATTTCTCGGGAACAAGTATCTGGCGTTAGAGCTTTTCTCGATGAACTTCTAGCGAAAGTATTACGAAAGCAAAAATGAATGCAGATTTATTAAAAAAGTTTTAAGTTATTTTTAACAACCCCCACGGACCCCATCACCCCTATTAATCCTTTATTAGCCCGGTGTCCTAGAAAGATAAGTATCATTGTATAATTTAAGCCAGAAGCACATTAAAGTATGCTAAGTGATGCTAACAGGAAACTGATAAAAAGAAAACTTGTCCAGAAATATTAGGACAATTTTGGGGAGACAACTTCTAGAAGAACAATCTTAAAGACAGCGCATATGAATACAAATATGTTTTTATCAAAATATTTCATCGGGCCCATTGGATTTTACAGCAAAAATACCATTGGATCTAAATTAAGAAAACTTTGAGGAAGCCCACGAATCATAAAACAAATTCTTCAGTCTATTTATGTTTATATTGTGTTTTTGAAACCCTATTTTACAGTTTTGAAGGAAAAGAAAAAAATGATTTATAAAAATTTATGGTTTGAATGACCTATAAATGCTGGATTTTTGGCTTCTTAAAAATCCATGATATTTTAGTTATGAAAATATCAAGCTATTTAACCACTATACATTTCTGTTGGTTTCCATTTCACTGAATCAAAGAAAATATGGGAAAAGATATTTTTTATCTACTCCTCAAAACATCAGAAATTTTAAATATCTTTATTTTTCCAATTCATACCAAACAATGTAGAAAAAAAGACGGAAATAATTTTTTCTAAATTTCTTTTCCAAAACTGGATAAATAGAAATTACAAAAGAATTTACATTTAGGGCATCATACAAATGACATTTTTTCTCAGATTTATTTTGAAAAATTTTAAAAACTAGATATTTAAAAATTTTGATTGTACAAGATATTGAAGTTTTATCCATTAATATCTTCATAAATCTATCCGTCGCAACATTTTCTTATATTTGAAACTCAAATTTTTCAATTGCAGCAAAATTTTAGTTGGACGGACGTTTTCTTCAATATCTTTAGAGCTACATTTCTCTGCATTTATATATTTATGTTTACCCGGAATTAATCAAAAAAAAATTGTAACTAGAATTTTTCATTTGTAACTTGTAAGTGAAACTCATTCTAACACAAATATACTAAATATCTATTCTTTCATTAATTTGCTGAACTCCCAGGATAAAAATGCCAATGATTTATTTTAGTTAATNCACAACAAAGTTATAAAAATAAAAATAAACAGCATGTAAATAGTCAGAGCTAGGAACTTTTGTGTTTCGATACTCATCATCT